AAAAATGGCGCGCATTCTAAGTTTCAGTCCGTCAATATATATATATATATTTTTTTTATGACTCAAACAGCAATGATTGATAGCCACTTTCTGGAGATATTCATGTTGGATGAAAAGCAAAACAGGGAGCGAACTCAGGAACTCCAGGCAATGATTTTCCATCCTGGAGCAATATATGGGGGTTGTAAAAACCCCGAGCCCTTTCAAATGTTTTTTCATACGTTTTTTTTTGGTCCTATCCCTTTTCCAAGGGCTGGCTTCACACCTTGACCAAAGGATTCACGTGAGCGAACAAAGGGAAAAGGGAAAGGAAGAGTAAAGGAAGGGAAAGGAAAGAATAGGAAAGGGAGAGGAAAAGGAAAGGGAAAGGAAAAGGAAAGAGAAAGGAAAGGAAAACGAAAGGGGAAAAAAGGAAAAGAAAAGGAAAAGGAAAGGAACAGGAAAGGAAAAGGAAAAAGGAAAGAAAAAGGAAAGGAAAAAGGAAAGGAGAAGGAAAAGGAAGAGTAAAGGAAGGGAAAGGAAAAAGGAGAGGAACGGTAGAGGAAAGGGAGAGGAAAGGGAGAGGAAAAGGAAAAAAAGGGCCGTGTCTCACACGGACCATTTTCGATGCCAATGGCTGCAATCATCAAAAAAGGAGTGTAGCGACCACCTACCAGGCACCTTCCGTGTGCAGAATCTGAAACGCATTCGTTGGCGCACGATTCCGACAACAAACAATGAAATGAAGAAACCAAAAGCACAAAATAGCTGCAGAAAGACAGAAAAATAAACAATTAGATTTCAAGAATCTGGACACAAATCATTTTCAGAACCAACGTTCAACGTTATTTTTTCCCTCTGATCTTTTTTTCGAGTGAAAGCTAAAAATGGCTCATCGGGGATCATGGAAGACTAAACGAATAGGCGCGGAGTTCTTACAAACTCCCATATATAGATGATATGGATGGCAAAACATGTGGTCCCCAGCTTAGATTCACACCTGGAGAAGTGGTCAGCTCCCAAGGTTCGTCTGCCATCAATTACCCTGCGGCATGGGTTAAAACATGTTCGGTGCAACCCTGACGTGGCTCTGCGCCGGAATTGCGGAAGCGCTGCGTATTTTTGAAATGCCATGTCGGTGGACTTTCAATATGTAGATGTATATGTGATGAATGACCATCATCATCATAATCATCATCATCATCATCATCGTCATCATCAGCACCACCACCATCATCACCATCATCATCATCACCATCATCATCATCATCATCGTCATTGTCATCGTCATCGTCCTCATCATCACCAAGGTCTCGTCGTCGTCGTCATCATTATCATCATCAGCCCTTAAAAAGACAAGGTGATGCTTTCATCAATCAGCATATTTGCCACAGGGGTGGGGGATTGTTCATCCCTTATGGAGAGATGCTGATGCTATTTTCAGATTCAGCATATTTGTCAAAGGGGGTGGTTGGTTTTTTGATCCCTTATGAAGATAAGTTGATGTTCTTCCTTATTCAACAAATTTGTCAAAGGGGCGGTGGTGGATTTTTGATCCCTTATGAACATAAGCGGATGTGATTACACCATTCAACAAATGTCTCATAGGGGGCGCCGGATTTATGATCTCTTATGAATATAATACATACAAGTTGATGGTGTTACTATTACCACATTCCACCTGAGTTGACACTGGTGATGATGATGATGATGGTGATGATGGTGATGATGATGAAGAAGATGATGATGATGGTGATGATGATGATGAAGATGATGATGATGGTGATGATGATTATGATGATGATGATGATGGTGGTGGTTGTAAGTGTGGAGCAACGTCCGGGTTGGACGGAACATGTTAAAACAATGGGATGGGTCGAATTTAGATCTTTTGAATGGACAGCTCGCTCTGGGTTCGAGGTAGTTCGAAGTTTGACCTCAATAAACTTGGGATATTCCTGGTCCTCAAGCATTCAAGCAAAATCAAGAGGGTTGTCAGCAGTCTATCAGGCTACCTTGTGTGAGAGTTTACTTCCATCACCCTACTTGGAGCTCAGGTCCCTTTTTTGCAGCCCAAAGTGCGGATGGCATCGTTGAAGTGTCGCACACCCATTCCCCAGTAGTGGCTCACAAACCATTCCATTGGGCTTGGGCCAACCAGCTCGACAAAGGAAACTTGGAAAGGTTTCGTCAAAGGCTGCACGATATTTGCACACACCTTGGGCACGCCCAGCAGTGGGAAAAGGATATCAAGTTGTTTTTGGGGGTTCTTGATAACGTTTTACAAAAAGAAACGGATTTGCAACCATTGCTACAAAAAATGCATGGGAAGACTAGGGGAAAAGCGACTTGGTGATTTTGTCTGAGAATTGTGTTTCCCAACATCCAATGGTTTATCATAAATTGTTTATCAGCACTTTTCCACGGTTTTCATTGTTCCATAATTACTCAGATATGGTCGGGGTAGCAAATTTTCAGACACACACCCACATGGAGGTCAAAATGATCAACGCAAATATATGCAAATATTGCTTATGATTATGCTTAATTGATATTGCTTATCTTGGATGATTCCAAGTTCCAAGTCCTCAAAAATTGGCAAAGACTACGGGCTAAAGCTTGCCTGGTCCTGGCTTGGACCGGCAGTGGCCTGACCCAAACACACAGAAAAGATCAACAAAACGCCAAAAAACGTAGTACATGGACCGGTCCTTGATGAAGGTCTCAAAGTACCTCGGTGATGGATGGCTAGCAATCTGTCAATCGCCCTTCCTGCGCCCAAACTTCCCACCGACCAGCTGGTTGTGTCCAAACAGAATCTCTAGTGACTCCGGGTGGAAAAGAAAAGAGGGCATAATTAATACATACCCAGTAGAAACAACAGAAATTGACATCAAACTCAATCAAGCAGCTGCCGAAGCACCTTCAAACCCACTATGACGAATGGTCCGGGTGGAAAATGAATGGACTTATATGGAAATCACTTTTTTTGGACCTCGTTCCATTTCTTTTGGACCTGGACACTTTTCATGGACCTTACTACAATTCTTTTGGGGATGGCTACCCTTCTACAAAAGAAGGGTAGCCATCTCCAAAAGAATTGTAGTAAGGTCCATGAAAAGTGTCCAGGTCCAAAAGAAATGGAACGAGGTCCAAAAAAAGTGTTTTCCATAACCTGCGCACCCTCCTGCTGGACCTGCGTGCCCTCCTTCTGGACCTGGCCCTTCCCCAAACCACACCCTCTTTGGATAGATTCTCCAAGCTGCGTCTTGATCGCAATTCTTCAGACACTAGGGGGCCAGAGCTGCGCTACCATGCAACATGGCAGGAAGATCCCTGTACGAGTTCACCGGGTCAGGTTGGGGCCTGTGATTTTCTACTAGAAAATGTTTGTTGTATAAATTAGGGACCCAAGAAAATCTAGCTACAGACATCAAACCAATTTGAGGTATCCAAGAAAACTGGCAACGCCCAAGAAGTGCATTTTCGAAGCTATGGATAGCATTTTTTCTTAGAAAAACATTACCCTGCTTGAATTGCATAATGTTGAAATTACGAAATCATTTTGTTTGAAAACAACTTCCGGGGAATGGTTCTCTTTTTCTAAAGCCCAACATCCAACCCATCGAATTTTTCGAATTATTCGACGGCTGCAATGAGATGCAGTGAGATGCGGCAAGTGTTGCAAACTTGGACAGGAGAGAGATGGGACTGGATTTTTAGCATGTTTTGAAACAAACCAAAATTACCTACCAGTGCCTCTCTAGAAAATCAGGGACCACTAGAAAATCTATGAACGTCCTCCCAGAGATGCTAAAATTATACCAACCTAAAAGTAGATGGCTCAACTCAAAAACCAAAATACCCATAAGATGGCACCGCGGGGTGAGAAAGAATATGGCGCTATTTTAGCTGGAACATAAAACGAGTTCCGCCAATTGAAGGAACAACCGCCCTACTTTAAAATGAAAAGGTAGATGGCGCAACTGCCATTACAGTACATGAGGGTATTGTTAACTAAGTTTACTACATTTCCGATAAGTTTTGCTTGTTTATACTGCAGATTACACACGTTTGTATTGTAAATATATTATACATATATATATATAATTCCCCTAGATCGTTTATCCTAAAAATTAGTTGCGCCATCTATGTCCCTTAAATCCCGTTCAAACGCCAGAAACTTCTTTTTCGATGGGTTCAAAAATGAGTTGCGCCATCTATGTCCCTTAAATCGCATTCAAATCTTCGAACAAATTCATTGCAATACCTTGAAAATGAACCACTGAATGTTTTAAAACTGATTGCGGACAGAATTTTATGGCTAGAAATCTCATTTTTCAACATATTTTGACAAAAATATATTGAAATAGACTTTTACAATTGCATTGCAATACCTTGAAAATGAGTTGCGCCATCTATGTCCCTTAAATCCCATTCAAACGCCAGAAATTTCTTTTTCGCCTGTTTTCTTTCTCTCAGCGGGGCTATTCCCCTGAAACTGCTGACATAACACCGCGTGCTGCATTTTTGTGTGACAGCTGTTTGCTGCCAAAGCTTTTCCGGCATGCGCGAGGTCTTGAGCCATGCTTGCACCAGCATGATGAACACGGTCCTTGCATGTTGGGGGCATCGTTTATTAAGGGGTTGAGGTAGAACGCACTTCTGAGGTGGCCCGGAAGAAAGATCGCAGTTTTTTGCCAAAAAGGTGGCCGCGAAGAAGGCTGGGAAAGAAGGCGGCGGTGTTGTCTTGAACCTGGGGGCCCTTGGCCAGCCCCGCCAGGCAAGAACAACAATTAATTTGGCTGTCTAAAAAAGATTCCCTGGGTCCAGCACAAATACATGCAGGTCCCAAAAAAATATCCCCACAGGGTCCAGAAAACACACAGGCACGTCCCCCACATTTTTTGTGCCCCCAGGTCCAAAAAAAATCCAGCCATGTCAAAAAAACATGTACAAGTCCAAAAAAGGGTGCCCGGGGCCCAGGTCCAAAAAACATGCATCCCGTCTTATATACTGTTCTACGATGCTACCCAAAGCCACACCCACCGCTCGAAAATGCTCGGAAGTATCCTTAACACGCTGCCGGGCCACTGCACGAAATCATGTAATTGTCCAGCAGTCATGGAACGATCAGGTCCTCGCTCACAACGCTTGGGCGGCAAATGGCACTCTCGGAGGAATTGCCGATGACGCTTCGACAAAGGGCTTCCAAAACGGCCCTGCCTGGTGCAAAACCGTGGTGAATCATTTTGCGACTTGTCGGGGCACTGAATGTTTGCACTGCTCAATACTGCTCAATTAGGAATTTAGGGTTTATGCTTGGTAGAATTGCATGGATAGAATTTGTTCTAGAAACGTTCCCTTTTTGATGCCCGACCCCCTACGCTGCCTCTGTCTCCAAACGAAGGCCAAACCCCCAACCAAAATGCCCAGACCAGCAACCAGCAATATCAGGGACCACTCGAGTTGGATCATAGCGGCGGCAGCCGCTGCGCCAAAGAGCAAGCACCAACCAAGGAGAGGACACCGCCATAGACCGATCTGAAGATAAGCACGTGGGAACTTCACAGTGACATGCCCCATGGAGGTGTCCAATGGCTTCTCACTTTTGCCATGCAAAGTCAATTGGAATGAACTTAAGGCCTTCACTTTCGAAGAGGTGCCGTCTAAGTGGGGAACTCCAGTGCCAGCAAACGTGACCTGTGGGCACCAAGATTTCATCAGGAAATGCGAATTGACGGTGGTGATCACATTCTTTTCGCCCTGAGCAGATATGTCAGCAAGGGCAATTCGACCATGGAATCCAAGCAAGCACAAGAAGCAGAAACATGAAGATGCAATTGCGGAGATCACTGCAAGAATCAAATCCATGCTTTCGGGCTGGCAGCTCTGCTTGGTTGCATCAGGCGTTGATCGGATGATTCTGCTTTCACAGCTTTCACATTTACCGCTGCCAGGCTTGGCCACGTGATTCGAGGGACACCCGGTACATTGGAAACTGCGGAGCGAAGCATATTTGCCCGCAGGGCATTGCTCGCAAGTTGTCAGGTCCTTGGAGAAACGGCCTGCAGTACACTCACTGCAGTTTCCGCTGGCTGCACTTGCAACAGTGCCTGGATCACAAGGGGTACACTTTGCAGCAGCCTCCTCAGAATATGTGCCTTCTGGACAACGATCGCATGTGCTGCCACCTTGCTTTGGCGCCACTGTGCCAGCTGAGCATTTAGTACATGAACCGTTTCCACCGAATGAAATTGTTCCAACGGGGCAGTCAATGCAAGCCTGCCGATTGAATTCTCCCCTTCCTGGGGGACATCTAACACACTCTGAAGCCCCTTGAGAATTGGATATGGTTCCTGGAGGGCAATCCCGGCAACTCTCGCTTCCGATGCCAGAATACTTCCCTTGACTGCACTGCTGGCATTTGGGACTACCCCGAGGAGCAAATGTTCCCCCAGGGCAAGGCTCACAAGTTAACAAATCTTGGGAAAAACGACCTGCATCACATGCGCTGCAATTTCCACTGCCTGATTCAGAAACCGTGCCTCGAGGACATGGGTCGCATCTCGCACTTCCCTCCTGAGAATATTTGCCTCGTGGGCAAAGAGCACATGTGCTGCCACCTTGCTTTGGCGCCACTGTGCCAGCTGAGCATTTGGTACATGAACCGTCTCCAGCAAATGAAAATGTTCCAACGGTGCAGTCAGCGCACGATTGACGTTTGACTTCGTATTTTCCTGCAAGACATGCATCACACGCTGAAGCCCCTTCAGAATCGGAAATAGTTCCTGGAGGGCATTCCAGGCAGCTGCTGTTGCCCGCCTCTGAATATGTTCCAAGTGGACATTTCGTGCAGGGGAGCCCTGCAAGAGAAGAAGAACCTTCATCACAAGGATAGCATCCTCCGTCCCTCTCTTCAGTTCCAGCGGGGCAGAATCCATCCACGCAGGTAGTCCTGCCAAGGTCATATCCAAGGTCAGCGTTGTTCTGCGAAAGTACAACGAGAAACCTTCAGCAAAGAAACATGTCCTTAATCTTAGTAAGTTATCTTATCCGTGTATGTATACTGTATGTATAGTGTATCTCGGTGCCGTGTTATCCCACGAAGTTGAGAAACAAACAATATGCAACTCCAGCTCTCCAATCCCAGGCTTATCAAGTTGTGCAATCCTGGAAAATGTCTTTATCATATAACATTTGTTATTCAGCTTTATCCGTCCTGCCATCCTCATCTACACCATAGAAGTCAGCCTCACAGGACAAAAGTATCTGATGCGGGTCCTTGGAAACTAATCCCCAAGGGTCAAATACAATAGATTACAATACGAGCCCCGTACTTAAGTCACATCAGGCGGGAAAAGTCACACCATCCCCATGGCACGGCGGCGATACAGAAAAGTCACATCAGGTAGTGGAGAGTCACATCAGGGAATCACCATGGCACAGCCTGTTTCATCTATACTTGGAGATTTGGTTAAAAGTAGCCGAAGCATTGCGCACAGCGATGATTCTGAAGGGCACAAGGTTATACAAACAAATTCTCGGCAGCTAATTCTATTGGATTTGAATATATTATATTGATGTCCTGCGTCGCGTGACCAAATCAAACCCGTATTGGTACAGCCTCAAATTTCTTGCAATGCAAATGGGTTAGCTGTAGCAAATCCTATTGGCAGAGCTATGACCTAGGATGATATAAGGGCCCCTTGTTTTCCGCAACCAAATCTATGGCTGGCGCGATGTGCATCAATGTCGTGGACAGCTCTCAAGAAGTTTGTTGTCCTATCCGCCCAGCGATTACAAGTTGGAATAAAACCTTCATTCCATTGCGGGCGGAATTTTGTCGGTGCTCCGTCTGCGCCGTCTGTTGTGTCTGTTCCGTCTTGCGCCGTCTTGCCGTCTGCGCCGTCTTGCGAGATGATTGCAATACAATATATGGTACAATTACTACAGTAGCGTGGGACCGAGTGTCATTACCTATACTCCCAAATGATACAATATATAATATGGCATGGTACAAAATAAATCAACTTACGATCTCCTAGCCAATTCGATCAAACCTCGCTGCTGGCGTGTTCGTAAGAACAACCTTGCGCACCCCTTTGCCGCGTCTTGCGAACACACAACGTTATCAATGCACACAAATAAATGGTGAAAAATGTCGGCGCGGTAGAAGATCTAATCTTTTATTATCTTTTATTTGTTCTAGATCTTGATGGCAGTACGCGTTTCACTGCGAAGGAATGACCCAACTTTTGATTCCTGCAAAAACATGTTCAATGTTCCAAGTCGAAAAGGTGTGGCCAGGAATCAAATCGGACTCCACCCAACAAAGGGGGGCATTATAGCTTGTCTTTCTGAAGGGGTTACAGTATGGGATGGCTTATTCGTTTATGCCGCAGCTTATGCGGATGCGCACAATTTTATCTACGCGCAGGAATAGCGCGGGCTCATGCATACCAGGCTTACGCAAAGTTCTGATGCCTGAACAACATCATACAACATGATATAACAAGTAGGTTTCGCACATGGCTCAACGGCCCAACTGCTGCACATGAACATGAGTGAACATGGATCTTGCGCCCGCCCTTGTGCTTCCTGGCGCCGCCAAATGAAATCACACACACGAACAAAGTTAAATACAGAGCACCCAATAACCATATTAAAATGTCTTTTTAATCTAAATTTGTGTATGTACCCCTCCCATTCCCCCAATCTTCCAGCAGAATTCCCAATGAGCCTCAGAGCAGAGGCATGAGCCGTTCCCTGTGGCTGTGAGTGTAGCTGTGGAATCCCCTGCCTCTGTCACAGCTTTCGCTGCCACATCATCATCAAAGCAACGTCCTCGACCGTAGCAAACTTGGCCTCCGACCTCCCCAGGACATTCCTCGCAGCTACGCATGTGCCTTCCATCCAGCGAAGCTGTGTAGTACTGTGGCTCGCAACGAGAGCAATCCTTGGATTCATAGCCTGGGTTGCATTCACAGTTGACCTGCCTGGCTATGCAAGTGCCTTTCTGGTTGCATGAGTCGCTAGGCTTGCAAAATCCGGCCGTCCAAAGCACAGGGTGTCTCTGAGATTGATGAGCTGCCAAGATTTTGAGCCGTCCATCTTCTGACCCAACACCTATTGCCACAGCCATGCCAAAACCAGCAAATGCACTGGGGTTCCAAAGGCTAAAATCGGTTCCCAAGCATCGAAAGTCATCGTCGCAGTGCAAGGACCCATCCTCCTTGTGCTCACAGGCTTGAAGTCGCAAATAATAATCTGCGGACCCGTGCTTGCGGGACCGCACCAGGTCCATGTCACCATCTCCATCACAATCTAGAAAATGCCATCCCATTGTTGTGTTGTTGAAGCTGAAGCCGCACACTGGCACCCGGAGGCGGTGTAGCGGCCAGAAAAGGAGCGCAGCACAGCTGCGCGCAGGGGTCCTTACAGGACGGTGCCCCCCACACAGGGGGCCCTGCCAAGGCGCAATCTTTTCATCCGGGCCTCGGCAGCCACTGCGCGGATCGTGGCCATTTGGCCCAAACAGGGGTGCACCCCATTTTGATTCCAGCCCATGCGAGCGCACATGGGATCGGTGGGTTGGTCAAACACCCTATGATCTTTCCAAGTTTCACACTGCCAAAGAACGTGCTCAGTAGAAGGACAGACAACGCAGTGACAGTCCGGACAAAATTCTCGGAGGCCCTCAATATGAGCATCAGTGGTAATGCCCCCACAGAGCACAGCCACCTGATCACCACTTGCAGAACGTGCAAAGGACCTAAGTTTGTCAATGAGTTCCTCAGTCGCATGGATTCCTTGTGCCCTGGCAAGCTGAGAATCAATGCGTTCAGATTGCACCCAAGCGGTGAACCTCGTTGTACGCCAATGCTGGCGAAACAAATGTTGACACCTTGAAATGAAACCTACCAGCATGCTAGTCAGCCACCGGCCGTTGAAAAAAGAGAACCCCACCTCGGGAGTCCAAGAACCTTGCAGGCGTTGGACAGCAGCCTGCAACGCTTTGATAGGAGCTGAATTGATGGCGATCTGATTTGGACGAAGCGCCCACTTATGAAGAGCCGTCATAAACCGTTGGGTACTTAGAAACAAAAGGTCAGAACAGTGGCCCATAGCCATTACAGCTGTGAGGTCACGAGAGTCGTGGCCCCCTGGATGATCAAAACCTTGAACTGCACATCGCCAGGTCTGAGCATAGGCCTGGCATTCCTGTTTTGTCGGACACCGACCATTGAAAAGAGCTCCCCAGGAGGCAGTGGGCGCCAAGACGCTGACTGCAACCGAGTTCCTGAAAGCCTTAGCTGTGGGCAGGAGCGCTATTCGACGAGCGACCTGTGCCACTTTATCAGAACGTTTCTGTTCCTCCTCAGTCCTACTACGGGGAATTAAACCCATACAAACACCCAAAATTTTGGCCGTATTTTGAAAGGGAATGCCAAGCTGCAGGCATTCGACCCGAGCATCCAACGTTCGTGGCAAGAATTGTTGTTTAGATGCATTATTGCGAAGACGAGTGTTTTGGAACAGAACTTCCCAAGCCTGAAGCGCTTGGTTCAAGGCCTGTCGGCTTGTGGCGACTAATGTCCTGTCGTCCAAATATATTAAGGACCTGGCGTTTGGTTCCTGGCTGAGGACGAAACGACTGGCAACGGCCATTAGAGCGCTCATGGCAATTGGAGACCATGGGTCTCCTTGGGGGAGACCGGCTGTGTTTTTGAGCGGGGCGGGATCAATGGCCCCGCGATAGCTGAGCCACCTTTCGTGGTGGTCCCATTGGTCCTGCAGGAGTTTAAGGATAGGTGCCTGAAGACCTGCGTGTTTGAGGAGTTTAAGACACACGGTCCAGTCGGTGGTATCGAAAGCTTTCTGCAGGTCTAATGCCATGGCATATGGCCAATCCTGAGCTTGGTACTTGTTTTCCATGGTGAGTAACAAATCCTGCGCTGCTAACCCATTGCACCCAGCCTGATCTTGACACAGAAGACCCTCCACAAAAGATTTGCAGTGCTGAAGTCTGATGGCTGCCCAAATGCGGTAGGCAGTGGGGCCTACACTGATTGGACGAACATCCCCTAAACCTGCGACTACTCCCTTTCGAGTGGTAGCCTTAGGCAGGAAGCAAATTTTCCAGTGACGCACCTGCGTGGGCCAACGGCCAATGTTTTCACATGTCTGAAGGATCTGGGCGAACCTGTCAATCGCCAGTTGTGGCAAACACGTGAGGTGACGGGGTGTGATCCCATCCGGCCCTCCTGCTGTCTTTCATTTTCCTGGCTACGCGAATAATGTCTTTGCCTGTGATAGGAGGCAATGCTTCAGTTTGGGCCGGCATGGGAAAATGTTCTTGAAAAACTTCAGAAAACTGATCCCATGAGTCCAAAGCAGAGTCCCCAAAAGTGCGAGACCAAAAAGTATGGAGTGCAGCGAGAGCTCTTGGTCTGGAAGTGAGGATCTGACCGGATTCATCTTGCAAAACCGGAGATCCAACCTCAGTCAATTTAACCCATTTGCAAGCGCCGCTGTGGTCTGTGACCTGAGTTTTCCATTTGTTTAACTTTTGGCTAGATTTATTTTGAAGAAGAGCCTGGAGCCTGCCGTGAGCTAAACGTTCTGCCAGACCGAAAGCTGCTTGACGGACCGCCTGCTTTTCAGGAGCAGGCACATCCCTGGTGGATTCAAGTTTTTTCTGCAAACCCGGGTTGAGTTGGTACCCGAGGTGACTGAACTTCCGAGCTTCTTGCAAACGCCGAATCCAGCGACGGAGCTTCCGCTCAGCAAGGGGCTGCAAAGGGCCCATAGCATGAGTGCTGGTTTGAACCCTGGGCGCTGAGCCCAGTGGCCGTTCAGGTCGACCTTGGTCTAAAATACCATTGCGGGTCAGCCACGTTTCTATATCTTGACACCAAACTAGCCAAGCCTGGTCCACATTGCTGAGCACCTCTGTCCATCTCTCGTCTGATGTACAGCTGAGAGCCCAAGCTTCCTGCTGAGAAGGAAAATTCTGTTCAGCCATTTTCCTGGTGTGAGCAAACCTGAACTGTTGGCGTCCAGGCTTTTGCGTTTGGACTTCCCAATGGACTTCAGCTAAAGAGTGATCTCCGTCCCCTGGCTGCCACGAAAAGGCAGCAGTCGGGCGAAGATCCAGCGAGGACCAAATACCGTCGATTGGAAACCTACTGGAATTGTGACCAGCATGAGCCCGGCAGCAACCTTTGATTTCGTTCATCAGAGTGGCGCAAGTACCAGCCATTTGATTCGTATTGGCATCCATAGCTACGATCCAAGCTTGGTCCATGTCACTAGACAGAGTCTGGCTAATACGGGTAAGACCTTGGAAATCTTCATCATCAGCATGGCGATAATAACTGCAGAGTTTAAAGGATTTATTTCCTCCGTGTACTTCGGCCAGCACAAACTGGCCCTGAGGATCGCTCCAAGTATCGATAAGAACTAACCCAAGTGGCTCACGGCAGCAGATAGCGACGCCCCCTCGGTTGGAAGTACCTTGGGGAGAAGGGACTTGCAGCATTTGCCAACCGTGCCTTAGACATGCATTGACGACTGCCGGCGCATTGGTTGACGTGATGTTCATTTCTTGTAGGGCCACCAGCGAAATACCTGCAGTCTGGGCCCTATCCAAGCAGGCCATACCATTGGTGTGCCAGGAACGAATGTTTTGGCTCCACATCTTGACGACGGGACAAGGACCTGGGTGTGAAGCTTCACCTATCCGTTGGGCTCGGTGCCCTCGACGTGTTGCACGAACACCATCAGCGACTTTGCTAAGTCTCGCAGCAACCTTAAGACATGTCTGCCAAATTTGCTTTCTGCGCTTTAGACTAGGTGCCTTGCTGCAGCGAGGATGGGAGGAACAAATAGAGATGGGCAAATCACCTGCCGTAACCATTCGGCAGCACCGCTTGCACTGGTATCGGGGGTACTGTAACACTTTACCCGATTTGCATGTGTAAAGAGTGACGCAAACTGCCTTACTTCCTATGTCATGTGCACCGGCACAAGCTCTTTTTTGGAATTCAGCAACCCTGTGTTCCCAACGTTGTTTGACCACGGACTGAGAAGTTTGGACCGCTTGGACAGCAAAACCCTGCCTAGGGATTGGGGGGACCTTACGCCAGGCATGTACTTTTTGCAAGTGGTTTTTGCGTTTGTACGAGCGGCCCGAAGATGGCTCAGCTAGGGAAATTTTGAAATCGCACAGTGAACACGACCACCAAAATTTTGTGTGACCGCCATCAGCTTCGGATGGCATTAGTGGAATGCCCCCAAACAATTTGGGAGGGGATGATAAACTATTTACCATGCTAAGTCTTTTTTGGTTGTTCAAAAAGGAGAAGTGATTCAAAAGGTCTTGGCTCTCCGCTCTCTCCTTTGCAATCGATTCCAGAGTTTGAGCCCACCACTGATTGGCGAGTTGCAATCGTTTGGCAATGCTGGGCAACTTGGAGCCACCAGCGGCATTGCTGGCAGAACACAATGTTTGCACGCCCCGATTCCAATGGGTGAAGGATTCATCGCAGGCTTGACACTTCCATCGGCGCCAGCCTATGTTGACAGGTGTGAGCTCATGTGCATGCCTGCCCACCCGCGCTTCTTTGCCAACAGCAACCAAGCTTGGCACCGCTTGGACCTTTCTTCCCGCTTGGTCTGGACTCCCTCACCAGGAGCACCCGGAGGGTCAGGCGGCATGTCAGAATATTGGATTCCGTGAACCTGATTTAAGTGTTTTTTGCGACGCGGCCCATGACACGTGAGGTCTTTGTGCTTCAAGACCTGAAAACCGCACGTGCAAGTCCACCAAACAGAGATAAGGTCGGGCAGCTGAACAAAAGGCTCACGTTTAGTAATACCACACGTCTCGGTTGCGGAAACCACTGGATTGGTTTTCCTCTTCTTGGTGGAAAGGTCCAACATACTGGGCACAAAAGTGTGACTACGTTTTTTACTCGCTTTAGATCCTGTGGCTGATTCACTTGGTGATCTTTCAGGGCTGAAGGTCACAGTGTGAACCGAGGGAGTGTCAGGCTGGAAAGATTTGGCTTGCTGAGCAACTTTGATTGGCACATTTTTGCTGCTAGCTTTTTTACTATGCGATCCATCAGGGCTGAAAAAACACGTATGTACCGATGGGGTGCTTGGCACTGATTCCGCAAAAGAAGCTGGCTTGACATCAGAATCTGCCTTTTTGTTGCGAGGGTTTGTGGATCCTGGAGTGTTCGTGCCAGCACCGGCTAGTTTCTGAGAAGGCGGGATATCAGTCTCACGCAACCACCTTTCTGGAAATTTGGTGCCAGTTGGTGGGATTAGCAACTGGTAATGCCCGCTTTGGAGCGTCACTGCGATTGGTTGGCAACCTTTGGCTTGGCATGCGATACCCTTTGAAAATCGTGGAGCATGGGTGTAACGTTGCCAGACTTCCGTGCCATCCTTCTGGACATCACAACTCCACAGGATCAGAACAGTTCCTGTCTTTTCACAAATTGCCTGAATCTGCATACCATCAATCCAAGCACCTTTCTTGGAGGTGGCTTGAATCCATGCTTCAAATGAATCAAATTTTTCTCCTGAGGCAGGATCGCTTGCAAAGAACTGACTGTATCGAGCCAAGTGTTGAGGTTTGCGAATATGTTGAAACACACTTGCACGAAGATTGGATGCGTTTCGTTGCGCAGTTTCGGCATCCAGAAACTGCCCATTTTTATTGAGTTCCAGCCCTTGCGAAACAACTAAGTATCCACAGTCTCCTTCGCCCCCGCACTCATGTCTCTTCCACCCTGCGTGAAGTAAGGCTTCCAATTCAGACACTGCTTTTGGCGGGGATGGCACTTCCGGAGTGGCTGGGTCAATTTGGGTTGCATCAATCATGTCCGATGCTGCAGGGCTAAGACTACGCTTTCGCGCTGGGGCATCATCAGCGCGTGTTTGTGCGCGTAATGTTCTTGGAGGCCCTGGCACGGACTGGTCATCTCGCCATTGTTTGCGAGGGCCTGGCACAGCTTGAGCTTTACAAGCCTGTGCCTTTTGAGGTGCTTTGTGGATATATATTCTAGTGGATGGTGGAATTCGGTATTCCCAAGCTGTCTGCGAAGGCAATCCCGATTGGGGGGACTTTGCTTTGATCCACCAACTAGTTTGTCTGCTTTTTCGTTGGCTTTGTCTACTTAATATACATGGTTCTTCCCAGTTTTGCTCCTGAAGAAACTGAAGAACCTCTTCCTGCTGCCAGTCATGCGGAAAGCCAGTGGCGCACCAGTGGCTGAAGTTGCTGGCAAAGGCCGCTGTGTCTTGCGGCGATGCAAAGAGGCCCAAGTCATTGGATCCACCTTTCCTGAGCTTTAACCCCTCTTTGCGCGACTGCGCAATGGTGAAAAGGCGACGGTGGTATGCTTCATCACTTTCCTTTCCTTCTCTGGGGAACCAAAAGATTTTTTGGTCATTATGTTGCACGCCAAGCTTGCATGCGAAGACACCTTCTTCTCCGCTTCGGGCCACTAGCTGGTCAGCAGTAGCAACGGGAAGCTGGATTACTGTGTTCAAGAATACTTTGCTCTGAATGGTCTCAGACCACCACTTTCCACCAGATATCTGACTGACCTTGATGTCAGGGTGCAAGCTAGCAACGCTTGCTAGCACGGAGTTTGGAGTGTCCTTGTAGCCACTGCTGTGAAGGTAGGCACGGAAGTGCGAAGCAGCTGTCAGCCGCACTGCAACCCTCTTTATGGCTGTGACTTGTGTTTGTATGATTTCAACTGGAGGCAACGTCCATGGTCCCCGGGAACCTGTGATTGCGTCCATCAGCGAAACATCAAGTTGGCGGCTAACTTGGTTCTTCTTTTTGGCCGTTACACGCGTGTGATAAGCACCAGGTGTATCTTTGGCCTCATCAGTGAGGATCAGAGTCATACTGCCATTTAATGCATGAGCATCTATCAAGCTCTGCAACTCTTCCAGCTGTGCCTTGGTGTTGATATGCATAATGTTTCCCACGATCGTGTCACCAGTCGTGAGATTTTGTTTGAGCGTCTGCAAATGGATCAGAACAGGTTTCATGGTCCACTCGGAAATTCTCAGTTCTGTGATACTTGGATAGACTTTCGATTGTGTGGCTGTCTGCTGATACCAGTCACGGTGATAGACATAGTCATTTTGCCATTGTTGGTGGGCTGAGACATCTGCTTCTGCTTCCTCCCACCACCACTCATTGCTGGCGTAACTCCATGGCTTTCTTTTCTCAGTGTAATTCCCAGTCTGGTTCCACCAAGCTGAGTCAGCTTTGGAAGACTTTGGAGGAGCGCTGCTTGGATAGAACGTTTGCTGCTGTTTCTGATGACCATTGAGGGCTTGTTGCACCGCTTGTGCAACTTCCATGTCATCATCGCAACGGGCACGGCAATCTGCTAGAGTACTTTCAAGCAAAGAAAGTAAAGAAGCATTTTGGTGCATGGTGTCATCGGGACCCTTCTGTCTTTTGGGTGCCCTCTGTGTTTGCATCCATTGGTTTAAGGTTTGTTGCAGCATGTCGGCCAGATTGACCTGCTGCTCCTTTCTTTCTCTTCTTTTCCTTGTTGCAAAAGAACCAGCCCCTCCATGGCCACCGGAGAGTTTCGTCCAAATTGCTGCATGATTGTATACAGGTCTCTTTCTGTAACAGCCATATTTGGGTTTCAGTCTTTTGCTCCAACAGCGCTGTGCAAAGCGCCGAATTCTTGTGTTTGCTGCTTTGACCCTCTGTTTTTTTGCAAAACCTGGCAGGGAAAAAACAACGTTTGCCAACTGATCCCTTCAGTGTGGGAATCAGGCAGCTTCCTTTCTTCCTCTTGGGCTTTTTCTTTTTCTTCTTCCTTTTCCGTTGTCCCGGCGTTGCTGCGTAACATCCAATGGTGCCACAAAACAAAAGCAGGGCTGCTAATGGGACCAAAAAGTGCGTGTTCCACTTCTGATCACTTCTGATTTCATCGAATGATGCATAAAAATAATGGTACGCGTGACTCTGAGAAAAGTCTAGATTGCTCGCCTGGGTAGTACCCACGCAGTTTAGAGTCGCTGAACATGCAAAAAGGTCAGTGACAGTAAATTCAGTTGAATTCAAGTGCATCTGCAACACATCGCAAACAGTGTTGCTAGTGCAACTGGAGTGCAAAACATGTCGAACTGGCTGTGCTGAAGCTGTAGGCAAGGTGCACAACAAAGCCAAGATCCAGCCAGCAGTACGTATAGATATTCGTGCCTTTCCATAGCCAAAGCGCCAGGGAGAGGCCTGCAAAGATGTCGCAAATG